GCAGCCTCCTTTCCTTCAGCAATCTGTCTTCTGCAAAGGATATAAACCATTACTGCTGTGCCAAAAGCTGATTTCTGACTTTTCCCTCGAGTTCTGTTTTTCATACATCCGGTTTCCTGCTGGATACTTCCACCAGGATGTACTCATGGAATCTCAAATTCAATGTGTATACAACCAAAGTTATCATCTTTTCCCCAAACCAAGCCTCTTCCTGGTGTTTCTATTTCTATCGATGCTATTATTCTCCCTGTCCTTCATGATATGATCTTCAGTATCTTGGGTCTTTCCTTTCCTTTGCTCCCCATATCTGAGTAATTAAAACATTCTACAAACCCAAGCTCCATGAGACCTCTCAGTCCACTCCTTCCTTTCTAGCCCCCTGCTAGTCCTCTGTTCTGGCCCTCCTGAGCTCTTGCCTGGACTGTTGCAGTAGCCTCTAAGTTGGTTTCTCTGCATTGCTGTCTGGTCTTTCCTACTATGGTCTAGATCAGTGTTCCCAGGTACATTTTCAATCATGCTACTAGGTGATGAGGACTACATTTTGTCCATTTCTGTATCTCAGTGTCTAACACTGTATCTGGTACTCAATAAAGGCTAGATTAAATTTATGTTATTTTTCTACTGAAAAATTTCCAATGGTTTTCCATTCCCTCCTGAATGAAGTTCCAGCCTGGCATTCAGAGCGCTCCATGACAAGTTTTCCATTTAACTTTCTGTTCCCAGTTCCCATTAGGACCCTATGTCCCAGCAAAGCAGAGCTACCTGCTTTTCTACAAACATTCCCTGTACTTTCAGACCTCATTTTTTTTTTTTTAAAGATTGGTACCTGAGCTAACAACTGTTGCCAATCTTCTTTTTCTTTTTTTTTTCTACTTTTTCTCCCCAAATACCCCTGGTGCATAGTTGCACATTTTAGTTGTGGGTCCTTCTAGTTGTGGCATGTGGGATGCTGCCTCAGCATGGCCTGATGAGTGGTGCCATGTCCGTGCCCAGGATCTGAACTGGTGAAACCCTGGGCCACCAAAGCGGAACATGCAAACTTAACCACTTGGCCACGGGGTTGGCCCCTACCTCACTATTTTTGCTGTTACTTTCTCTTCCATTTGGATTGCACATCTATTAAAATTCTAGTCATTCTTTATTTTTTCTGTATTTAAAAATTTTTAATGAAATATATTACTATGATTTTTAAATGAAATTCTAATATTTAAATATAAATATGTTACCTTTACAACAAAAAGCTTTCATAATTTCAAATTTAGTATGTTTGAAATATTTCATGATAAAATTTGTTTGAACATCCCCCATCTGGACTATTATGCAGACATTTAAAATTATATTTATAGGTCTTGATTATATTATTATACCATTCTCTTTACATTTTTTATGTTTGAGATTTTCACAATAAATTTTTAAAAAATATGTGGTTACCAAATCTATATAAGAACATAAAGAAGTTTATAATGTTAGGTGAAAAAGCGTGTAGTAATTGTGAGTAATGCTCACTTATGTTTCCAGTCCTTCCTAAGCACTTCCTTAGAGTTAGGCATGGCCCTATGACTTGCTTTGCTCAATTAAAAGTGAGTGGAAATGATGTATGTTGCTTCCAGATGGAAGTCTTTAACAGCCATAGTATTATTCACCGTTTTTTCTCTCCCCTTTTACAGGACTGATGATGTTCAGATGGTCAACACTCCATCAGCCTGAGTCCCAGAGTCAGTACCAGATGGTGCAGAGGCCCTAATGACCTGAGATGGGCATGTAACACAAGTGGGAAATCAACCTTTACTCTTCTAAGCCACTGAGGTTTGTGGGTTGTTTGTTGCTGCAGCATAAAATAACCCATTCTGACTGATACAAAGCAGGAGGGAGCTCCTGGCAGTATAGATAACTAGATACTTTGAAGGCCTTCCAACTACAGAAGAACTGGATCACTTTGTAAATGCACGACTTGGCTTGTAAGTTGAAGGAAATTGTCTAGGGATAGCCCTTCTCCCAAAAAGTGAACTAAAACCACAACTTGGAGCCAAGAGTACTAAGAAGATAAGAAAATTGGGTTGTCCTAAGGGCCAGTGCCTTATTAGCCCTGTGTGAAGCTCCATCGCATCAGAAGGTGGGGACACCAAGGTTCTGAGACTTCTGCATTAGGCCAGGACACTCCGAGAGGGAAAAGCCTCTCAGGTGGGTTTCCCTCTGCCTCCTAACAGAAGCGGATACAAAATCTCACAGTAGGGTGGCCACTAATCCAAGACCACGGAGCACAGAAGGGGGCAAGACGCTGAGAGAGTCAGTGGAAAAACAAACATCCAGTTTAGACCTCAAGACCTTAGGATATGGGAATTCTCAGATACACAATGTTTTTATTTACAAAAGTGCATAGAGCAATTATTAAGTGCTAGGTAGTGTAAAGATTTATTTCAAACTTTAACTTATTTAATCCTTATAGCAACTCTTTGAAGGAAGTACTATTAGTATTCCCATTTTATAAATGAAAAAGCTGAGCCACTGAGAGGTTAATTTGTCCCAGGTCTACACTTCTTACGTGGTGGAGCTGCAACTTTGACTCTAGAGTCTGTGCTCTTCACCACCACATTTTGGGGCCTTTCTAACATAGAATGGCTGCATATGACCCATTTAAAGAAATCAGGATCAGTATATCAAAGGACCCTCAGGAATAACCAGGTAAATTTGAAAAAGAATTTAGAAAGAACTCCTAAAATGAAAGTAAAATGGTTGGAAGTGGACATTTAATGAACATATTAAATATCTGAAAGTGAATTGAAGAAATATCTGAAAAAAATGTTCAGAATGTATCACAGGAAAAAGGGAAATGGAAAATATGAAAGAGAAGGTTAAAGATGTGGAAGCTAGAGCGAGGAATTCTGATGCCCATTTAACTGGAGTTTTGGAAGGAGAGGATTGAGAGAGAGGAAGAGACATAATATTTGAAGCAATAGTAGCTGAGAATTTTTCAGAGCTGGTGAAAAGACCTAAGTCCACAGATTTGGGAAATACAGCATAGCCCAGCAGGATGAATTAAAAGGCAGTTTATCCCTTAGACATGTTATAGGAAAACTAGAAAACACCAAAGACAATGGGAAAATTTTAAAAGCAGGCTGAGAGAGAAGAAAGCTAACCTACAAAGGACTGACAATTAGACTGTCGGCAGACTTACCAAGGGCAACAGTGGCTGTAAGGAGACAGTGGAATAATTATTCAAAGTGTTGGCGGGAAATAACTGTCCATTGCATATCCAAAAAAGCTGTATTTCATGAATGATAGTAAAATAAAGATATTTTCAGATAATCAAACCCTAGCAGACCTTTCCTAGAGGAAGTCACATCCATCCTTCAAGAGTCATCTCAAATGCTATTTCTTCAATGGGACTCTAACCTTTGAATCTTGGTTGCATGTCATCTAAGCCTTTCTCATGACACTTCTCAAATTTAGACGTAGACTGAAGTTACATGTGCTTTTTCCTAATGCCCTCCCACCCCCACCACTGTTCTTACCCTCTCTCATGAAGGGCCCCAGGAGCACTGTGGGGTCTAACTCACCTTAACTTTTTGTATGGTTCTTATCATGATAAGTGCATGTAGTAGGTGCTTAATAAGTATTTGTTGAAGCCTACTGGTCAGTCTTCTCCCATGCATTTCATAGACCATCAGTTCCAAAAGATGCTCCCTTCAAAAGGAGTTTTATGGTCAAACCTGCTTCAGAAATACTGCAAATGGTACTATTTTCTCCCTCTTGGAGACCCACAGTTTAATTTGTTTAACTCAGCATTTCCCAAAATTCGTTGACCGGAGAACAACTCCTTCCATCCTTTACTCCATGTGTATCCCAAGAGAATGGTGTTTCTAAGACATCATTTTAGAAAAATACTACTGAAGGCATGACTTATTTGAGTGTCCAAGCCCTGGAGTCAACATCTTGGATCTTGATTCTATTAACAGCTAATCACATAATTAGTTTTAAGTTGTTTATCCTCAGGTTCCTTGTTTATGACGTCATGAGCAGGCAACCCATTCTAACTCTAAAGTTCTGTGAGTTAAAGAGCATTGCCTCTTGTAGTCAATCAGTCAGTCATTCCACATGTATGAAATTCCTACCACGTGGCAGTGTGCACAATGCTGGGCATATCATGATGAGCAAGGCACTGTCACCGCCTTCATGGAGCTGCTAGCTGAGAACGACTTTCTAGAGCTCACGAGTGGAACACTGTTCTTGGCTTTCTGGAATCAAATTTCTTCTATTTAAAAACTGGGAATTTACAGTCTCATTTATTACGTGTATCAGGTTGTGGAATAAACTTTTAGAATCTAAGCTTTTAGTCTATATAGGTTTATGATTCTATTTCACATAAGAGTTCTATTGTCAGAATTCAAATTTAACATGATCACTTATGTGTATCTAGTTTTTAAATTTTCATCTTTAACTTTCTTTGTAAAGGTTCAGTCCTCTGCAGTTTAAAAAGTGGATTCTAATGATGGAGCATCGGCTGGGCACTCCTGTATGTAGATGCTGTTCTAAGCACTTTACACATATTGTCTCATTTAATCCTTACAACAACTATACGAGCCAAGTACTAATACTATTCCCATTTTTTTTTTTTTTTGAGGAAGATCAGCCCTGAGCTAATATCTGCTGCCAATCCTCCTCTTTTTTTTTTTTTTTTTAAAGATTTTATTTTTTCCCCTTTTTCTCCCCAAAGCCCCCCGGTACATAGTTGTATATTCTTTGTTGTGGCATGTAGGACGCTGCCTCAGTGTAGTCTGATGAGCAGTGCCATGTCCGCGCCCAGGATTCGAACCAACAAAACACTGGGCCGCCTGCAGCGGAGCACGCGAACTTAACCACTCGGCCACGGGGCCAGCCCCCGTCAATCCTCCTCTTTTTGCTGGGGAAGACTGGCCCTGAGCACACATCCCTGCCCATCTTCCTCTACTTTATATGTGGGACACCTGCCATAACATGGCCTGCCAAGTGGTGCCATGTTGGCATCCAGGATTCAAACCCACAAACCCTGGACCAACGAAGCGGAACATGTGCACTTAATCACTGTGCCACCGGGCTGGCCCCTACTATTCCCATTTTATGGAGGCTCAGTAACTTTCCCGAATCACTCAGCTGTTGAAGCTGGGCTTTGAGCCCTGGCAGTGTGGATCCCAAGTCCGTGCTCTGGACTCCAATGCTACTCTTAATGGTCAAATATTGTCCGGTAGGTTTTCTGCTGGAAATTTGAGGGTTAACTTCTCTGAGGAGCTCAACAATCATATGGGATTTTTAAATGTCTAACTCCAGCCAGGTAGTACACTGAGGAGGTAATGAAAAATTAAAAGCTTTTTTTTTGGCTGAGCACTAATCTTTGTGGTTATAGATGTATCTCTGTGCCGGAGAGTACGGCACTTTAGATGGTGTTAACATAAAGTTGGGGTACTGTTTAAAGCTGACAGCTCCGTGTGTCTCATGTGTTTTCTGAAAGTAATTTTAAAGATAAGACTTTACTCTCAAATGTGAAATGGATTCTTTAAAGATTTCCAACACCATACAGTATTTATGTAATTGTATCGTTATATGGGGAAAAACTATAGTGCCAGGAGGAGAAGAGTGTCTTAATCATAAAATACTGTATTGTCAGAAACGAAACAAAATGTAAGCAAAGAAATGTGAACCACACCGTGTCAGTGAGAATTCTTGGCATTTAATTTTAGAAGCCATTTTGCATGGAAATGAATAAAGTATAAACACAGTACTTTATCTAGGATATGACAAGAAACTTCAAGATTGTAATGTGCATTAAGATAACATTCCAAACCTATCCTTTCAAGTTTTCAGCCAAGAATTTGTTTTTATAATTTCTTTGCAGTTGGCAAACAGCTAGGCTCTCCCTGAGGTATCAGTTTTCGTGCGGACGGTCCCAATCCCATTGTGTGTAACTGTTAACTTGCTGTGTGACCTTGACTGGATCACTCCCTCCACCCCAGCCCAACTGAAGGGGCCGAGTCTCTCCGGCTCTGTCTGGTTTCAAAGTCCTGTCGTTCTGGCCTCTGGATCAAGACATAAACACCACGAAAAGCACTTGCTAGAGAGACTGGATTTTTAAAACCTGGGCCACTTAAGGATGTTTAAAGGATCAGTCTAACAGCCAGCTATGAAGAGAACATAAACCGTGGCGGCCAGACCCTCCGGGGTTCACAGAAACAGTCCATGTGCTTCTGGGACTCCCTGACATGAACAGGGTCTGAGAGAGTCTGGGCAAAAGAGGCAGAGGTCACAGCCACCATGATGCACGAGACGACCTCGGACGCCCTCCGGAGCTGCAGAGAGGTGCCGACCCTGTGAGACACTGCCGGACCCTCCTCAAGGGCTTGTGCCTCGGCTGTGGGGCCTGAGGGCTGCTGATGGTTCTTCAGGGGAGACCCTCTCTGGAGAGAGCCTGTGGCTGAAGAGAGCTGCTGTGCCACCCAGGGCTGCCGATTCCATGGAAGGGTCAGCCCTGGCCCCGGGGGGGCCAACTCCAACGTGTCCTGACAGTCCAGGGCTCTGGCGGCGTCTCCCCTGATGTCCCCTGAGCACTACCCAGTAGACCTCCCGTCTCAGGGGCTGGGGGATCCAGACCTGCCCCCGAAACTTACAGACCCCGGGCTCCGCTTACTTCTAACTCTGGGTCCAGGAGTAAATTTCCTCTTCAGTAAAATGGGAATAATAACAATTATAATAATTGTTTATTGTAAGAAAATGAGGAAATGAATCCAAAATACATAGTAAATGATTCATAGCAATAATTTAACATTTATTGAGCACTTATTATGTGCCAGGTGCTATTTTTTGTACTTGTTCACACAAGAACCCTATGAGGAAGATAATATCCCTATTTTACAGATGAGAAAACTGAGGAACAGAGACATTAAATACCTTATCCAATATCACACAGCTAATGACACAGTCAAGAATTCAAACCCAGACAGCTGGATTGCAGAACCAGCATTCTTAGCTGAAACGGTGTTGCTGCCCATGGATAAAGGCAAATTTTTAAAATACTTGGAGATGATAAACAAAAGCTCAATGGTGTCACCTGATTCCAGAAGTACATTTAAAACAAGGGAATTATAAGAGAAAAATTTTACAAAGAATTTCTGTGCTTCTGTTGTTTATATTTTTGCATTGCTGTAGATGATGGTTATTTTTGCATCAGATCAACCCTTTTTCATCAAGAGAGTGAATGAGCCAGTTGGAGGGGAGGGGCTGTAGTCTGAGGTGACAGTGGCTGTTCTGTGAGATAATTTGTTTTTGTTGTTTCTATTTCAATGAAACATGTACTAAGTACAAGATCAAAGAATTTAAAAGCAGTGACATGTTCACTATTAGGTAGTAATTTTATATACTAAGGGGGTTTAGGTTATATCATATTTCCTACAATTTCAAATGTCTCCCTCTCCTGGGTGACTGGGAAGTCATCGATCATCACGGGAAGAGGGATCGAGACAAAGGCCCTGCTGGCCTCGTCCCCGGTTTGCCTAGTGCTCCGTTCAGAGGGGTTGTCTGTTACCACCAACGGGAGGCAGTAGTTCCACATTTCGCTCCCAATCTGAACGGGTATGTACCATAACTTTCATCTTGGGGTGGTGTGGTGACCCCTGTTATCCTCTAAGTTCAGGGAAGTCTCTTTTACTCTTTACAGCACAAGTCTGTTAAAGTTTTTATGATTTGCAAACAAAGCGGTTTTTCATCTTCTGCTATTTGATAACGAAGGTAAAAGAAAATTCCTTCTACACCAAATAAATTAAACTTCTCAATAATTTACAGCTCCGGGCATGTTTGCCAGACTAGCATAACTGAATAAAGTCAACAGACTAAACGTTCCCCTGGCAATCGGCGAGGGTATGAGAGACAGCACCTGGGCCGCCCCACGGGTCTCGTTATTAAATCACAGGCCAGAGCTTGGAATCCAGGGTCCCCAGGGACAGGTCGGAGCTGACTGTGGAGGACGGAGCTTCTGTCCCCCTGGTGTCATTCCTGTGAATTTAGGAAGCGGAAAACTCTCAGAACAACGGAGAGAGAAAGAGAAAGGGAGAGGAGAGGGAGGGAAGGTGGAGGGAGAGAGATGGGGGAGGGGGAGAGTCTGCACGTTTCTTAGGGGGAAGATTCTAGTTACTTATATGTCACTAAATTGGGGATTCATCAACAGAACAGTGTATATTTCCACGATCTCGGAGCAAAAGTGAAAAAGAGTTAGGGAACATTTTGCAACTGGAACCACTATTTATCACTGTCAAGATCAGAACGAGGACTAGCTAGAAAAACACCCAGTGCTTCCCTCTCGCTAATTCCTGGGTCTGACCACCACCTGCCTTTGCCCAGAGGAGGAAGGGCTGTCTGTGAGCTGACGCAACAACAGAGGAGCATCCGAGTGCAGGATCCCGAGTCACACGTGGCACCTGGTCTACTTCTCGGGAAGGTTTCACACGCTGGAAACCAGCCATCTCATCTTTAACAAGTGGAACTTATCAAAGTATGGTTTCAAATTTGCACATTTGATGATGGGAGGGCTCACATGATCAGTGGAAAGTTGGGGGGAGAAGCAAATATATGTTTAGTCAGTGGATATCCCATTGTTCGATCATATTCACTGCACCCAGGAGACAAACAGGGTCCCATTAAAAACAGTAAATACCTCTCTCTCCTCTATAAAGCTCTCGTGGGAACCTAAGTGCTGTCAGGAAATACGAGGGGCAGAACTACGCTCACACTTAACTGCCGTTGGCGCAGCTTCTCTGGAGAAGAATGGGAGGGGAGAAGAAAGGCCACTCCAGGTGTGCTGTGTACTGACACCTCCAGCAATCACGCGGCTTCTGGTCCGTGACAGTCCCTTTGGGAGAAGCCAGAACTGGAGGGAGAGAGGATTGGGGTGGTGGGGTGATAATTTAGAGGGCCTGACCGGTAAAGCCTCTGAGTTTAAGCAAAACCATTAAATTTGTTTCGTTGCTGAAGTCTCATGGGGCACACTAACCTTTCTTTTCATTCAGGAAGAAAGGGTGGAAGAGGAGCTCCCAGGCCTGGCTTATGAGTGTGGCCTTGAACACGTCCACAGACGTGTTGTTGTCCTGTTGAGTCTGCAGCCAGGAAGGCGGAACTCACTGCAGAGGGCAGGTGTGAACGTGCCACTTCAGAGCCAGTGCTCTTTGAAGACGGAAAGTCAAGGACCCCAGTCCCTTCCAGGAAACAAGGACATAATTATCACAACACCCAACTGGCCGGTGACCTTCATTCCTCAGGCCCGCCCTACTCCCTCTGCTGGCACCAGCCCAGGTCCCCACAGCCTGAGCCCTGTGTCCAGACTGCTGAGATCCAGAAGCAGCCCCCTTGCACACCCTTTGAAAGGGTTCTTAATCTCTTTCTACTACGCTGCTCTCCCAACATAAATCCGCCAGCCTAGGGGCCTCTGAACCCCCGCGAAGGGAGGCCCATCCAGGCCAGAAGTCTGAGCCGCGGAGGCGTGGAATTTATGCTTCCTCTCACCTGCGTGTCTGTCTGTGGCCCCGACTCCAGTCTGTTGTTGGAGGTTTGAACATAACCTCCCAGCTCCTTGCCAAGTCTGCCATCATCACCTCAGCCACAGAAGCTGACTCCTCAAGGCCACTGGAAGCCACTTCATTATTATGTTTGAAATGTTGAAAGCAGGAGCCTAATAAAATGAGTTCAGAAAAACAAAAAGAGCTATAAATTATCATTTGAAAGGAGTGGCTAAAGAACTCATCTACTCAAAACATCTAGGGACCATTTCTCAATTACAGCAATAATCCAGGGTTTGGTTTCCTTCCCTTCACTGTGCAAAAGCCTTGGCTGTGCTCTCTCAGCACACGTTCTCTTCTGCTTCTGAGTCAGGCGTCTGGAGTCAAGAACAGTCCCCACACACTCCACACGCACGCACACTCCCGAGGGTCCGCTGAACTAATTAAGGCTTTTTGACCACAAGGAATTTATCCTACATTATCACCAATCAATAGTCATTGCAAATTTACATTTTATTTATTTTAGGGTAAGAGTAAAATTCTCTTTCTTTGACTTCATGAAGACTACTTGTGCTAAACTGATATACTTCATGGAAAAACACCAGCAGTGCTATTCCCTGAAAAATCCAGAGCAAACACAGGACGTCTTATCACAGCTATTATTATAGAATGTTCTGGAAGTCCTAGACTGGGGTCTCTCAGTTGGGGGTGATTTTGCCTCCCAGGGGACACTTGGCAATGTCTGGAGCCGTTTTTGGTTGTCAGAACTTTCGGGATGGGAGTGCTATTGGCATCTAGCTGCTGGGGATCCCACTAACACCCTACAATGATGGGAAAGAATTATCCAGCCCAAAATGTCAAGAGTGCTGAGGCTAAGAAACCTGTTCATGCATACAATGCAACAAAACATGAAACACAAATAGAGAAACAAAGTTTAGAACATAACTAAATTTCATTGTCATTAATTGCAATAACATGTATCACCTAAAAAACAAACAAAAAAGTCATTAAAATTCATAAAATAGTAAATAACATAGCTGGATAAAATGTTTTTAGTTATGTGAGAGACTAAGAGAACTGAGATTTTCCTATGGGTTCATTTATCCATTCTACAAGTTTTCTGAGTACAAAAAGGTCAATTTTACAAAAGAATACTTAGGGGAATAAGAAGGCTTTTGCATTTCAAAACTATGGAAACAACTAGGACGTTTTAATAACCTGGCCTGCCACACGGCAACACAAAATGTGACAGGAGACTCCAGTAGACACATCTTCAGATCATAAGTTGGACTTGAGGACTTTTTTTAAAAGATTGTTTAAAGCACCAAAAATTATTGGGGCATTAAATACACATACGCACACACATGCACACACCTGTAAACACCCCTTTAGCCAATAAAAACTTCCTCAGTGTGTTTTAATGAGGCTAGTATTCAAATGCATCGTTGGAAATCAAGATAGCCTGTAGCAGTCGATCATCATGATCCAGTAGAGCATAACGCAAGTAGACAAAGCAGACGTAAGCTTCTCGAGAGGAGAGCTCATATTGATCTTTCCATCTCCATAATTGACACATATCAGGAACCCAATAAATGTGTGTGAATTAATGAAATAAAGAAGAAGTGTAGACATTGAGAGACGACCTTTGAACTCACAGGTCGGAGTTAGCGCGCAGCTCTGGCAGCTGTGACTCAGCCTCTAGGAACCGCATCTTGAGAGGCTGAGGGAACAGCAGGGTTTCCACACAAGGCTTTGCCTCGAGCTGCGACTGCAGACTGTACAGGTCAAAACAGAGTGACAGGAATCAGCCAACCAAGCTTTGCTAAGAACAGTAAACTCAAGTTTTAAATGCTGAAGACTTGAAAGAATCTGTAAATACCCGTCTGCACGTAAACTAAGTGTATCAGTGGTTTTCTTGATCTTTCCTTCATTTTCCTGACAAGCCTCCAAAACTTGAGCGGAAGGGGAGAGGCCAGAGGGAAACCGGTAATCAGGAGATTATCAGACGTCTTCACTTTCCTCTCCATCCAGCCTCTCAGAGTCTCCCCAGAACCCTCGGTCCTGAGTGTTTAATAGCATTTATTCCACAGTTTCGAGGGGCTGAAAACCCCACAATCCAGTTTAACATAAGGTTGTGCAAAATGCTGTCCTGGGACAGGCTCACGGTCCAGGAAGTATCAGAGAAGTTCATCAGGGAACGCATTCCAGTGGTTCATTGTTCCCTTAATATAACTTTTGAAACTTAGGGACAAGAAAAAGAATAGGTACTGTTCACTGAGCACTTCTGAAGGACTTCCGTCTGTTTTCTCGGCTAACCCTCGCGACAGCCCTCAACTCCAGGTGAGGGGCCAGACGCGGTGGTGGTAACACAGGAGGCAGAGCTGGTGCACAAACTGGCAGAGCCGCGATAGGGATCCACACCTGTCAGCCTCCAAACCCAGCCTCGCAAGGACCACACTGCAGATGTCGACACAGCCTCACGGTCCTCTCACTAATCCACTCGTCACAGGTTAGTCTAGAATCTTCAAGTCAGCAAGCGTTTGTTGGGAAAATATTAGCACATGAAAGAGAAAACGAACAAAAACGGGGGACGTGAAACAGTCCTTGGTTAGAGGACATACCATTTTCTTGGAGTGATGTGGTAAGAAATAGACATCGGGGGGCCAGCCCTGTGGCTGAGTGGTTAAGTTCGCTTGCTCCACTTCGGCGGCCTGCGGTTTTGCTGGTTTGGATCCTGGGCATGGACATGGCACCGCTCATCAGTCCATGCTGAGGCGGCATCCCACATAGCACAACCAGAGGTACTCACAACTAGAATATACAACTATGTACTGGGGGGCTTTGGGGAGAAGAAGAAGAAGAAGAAGAAGAAGAAGAAGATTGGCAACAGATGTTAGCTCAGGTGCCAATCTTTAAGAAAAAAAAAAAAGAGGAGGGTCGGCCCCATGGCCAAGTGGTTAAGTTCACGCGCTCCACTTCAGCGGCCTAGGATTTCGCTGGTTCGGATCCTGGACACGGACATGACACTGCTCATCAGGCCATGATGAGGGGGTGTCCCATGTGCCACAACTAGAAGGACCCACAACGAAAAATACACAACTATGTACTGGGGGCCTTTGGGGAGAAAAAGGAAAAACAAAATCTTAAAAAAAAGAAGAAATAGATGTCGAACAATACCAACTGTGCAGAGTGCTGAAGGGACAGTCAATCACAGGTCTAATGGATGACAAACACGGGGATGACCAAGAAGCAGAAGGATGAAACCCCGGGTGGCATCCTTGGGGAAGGTCTCATTGAAGAGCTGAGTCTTGACAGGACTCTCCCAGGATTTGGACAATAGAGGAAGAGGCAAGGTGGCTCAGGGCGGTTCCTGCCCCTGGGCTGCTAGAGCTATGGTGGGCAGGCATGGTCTGCGAGGCTGCAGGGCATGGCGCAGAGCTTGGCCAAGACAGAGCGGCCAGTGGCACCAAACCACAAGCCAGGAAGTTGTCGAGGTGGAAGCTCTGGGCCAGAGGCAGGATGCCCGAACAAGCGAGAGGCAGGAAGGAGAGAGCTCAGTCCGAAGCCCGAGAGTTCGGGAGGGAGGCGGAGGGGAAACCTGGAGCGTTTCCCAAGCCGCTTGGTGCCAAAGGCAGACACTCCCACTGGGACGTGGAGCCCCTGCTTGGAGTGGGGAGCGTGCTAAGAAGGATGTGAGGAAGGCGGCAAGGACAAATGTGTGGATAGGGTCTGGGGACAAAGGGAGAACCAGTCTAGAATGTAGGCACGTGCTGCAGAAGCAGTATCAACCGGGCAGGTAAGACGAGGCCAGCTGGGCCACCAGAGACCGTCAGCAGGAGCCAGCGTCAGGTTACACAGCAGGTCTAGAGTTTGATGAACAAGTCTACATTCACGTGATCAACACAATTGTTGGAGACTTAAGTCATATTTCTTCGTCAGTACCTGCCGAGATGTGAATCTCAGCTCTGCCACTTACCAGCTGAATGACCTTGGGAAAATTACTTAACCTCTCTGTGCCTTGGTGTCCTCATCTATAAAATGAGCATAATAGCACCTACCTTCTAGGAGAGCTATGAGGACTGAACAGGTTACTGTTCATATGCACAGCACGAGCCTGACGTGTGCAGTGTGATGTACCGGTTTGCTGTCTAACATTCCTTCTCCTCGTCACTGTTCCAGACTGAAGACACAATTTGCTGGGGTCGGTGGGAGTAGTGGGGGGCTCACAGAGACATTCTTTCTCCTAATCTTGTGAATTGCTTTAAATGCCTCTTTTGAATACTGTCCAGCTCCTGAATACGTTTCCTGTGTTCTCCAGAACGGCACCAAGAAACTCGTCAAGTCTGCGCCTTTATAAACTCTTCAGATTCCAGTATCCCCCCCGGCCTCTTCTCCCATCAGCAGCGTACGGGGCTGATGTCTAAGTGAGCAACTCCCTTTCCTGGTTCCAACAATTATAACTGCTGGCTCAGAGTCCGTCTGCCATTCTTTCCATTTATTATTTCCATGCATTATCTCAGCAACCTTAGCAAGAACAATGATGAGGACAAGGAATAAAAAGGGGATGAAAGGTGAAATAGAGAGGGAAGGAGAAGAGAAAGAATATCCTTGTACTTGGCTGTCACTTTTCTAGCATTTCAGAAAGCTTTTTGCCATTACTAGAATTGGGAGAAGGCAAAGAGAATAAATGTTTGTTGAAATCGATGGTAGGCCGAGCAGAGTCCCATGTATTCCACACACTCAGACAGGTAAGTGTCTTGCTAGTTATCACCCAGCTAACAGGTGGGAGAGCCTGGCTTTAGTTTGAGATGTGGGTTTAATTCAACTCAATAAATATTGATGGAACAACTCTATAGGCCAGTTAAAAAGGACCAAATTGGCTTGGATATATGTCGAAGTTATGGCCAATAGGATTTCCCAGAGCATTGGCTAGAGTATGAGAAAAGCAAACAAAACACAACAGGGACCCCAAGGTTTTGGTTCCCGGAGTAAGAGAACGGAGCTGTCACTAATGGAGATGGAGAGGCTCGAGACGCCCTCAACATCCAGGAGGGGTGGAGCACTCTGGGCTGCAGGTACAAATCAGTCTCAAAGCCCATGCTCGAGCTAACATCCTAAGAACCTGGAGTCTGGAGATTTGTACCTGATTCTGGGGCATGAGGAATAGCTTCACAGAAGTTACAAGAACGAAAAAACTAATTA